CCCTCTTCAATTTTTGTTTTCCAACAACGATTTGTATAGTCAGAAAATGTCCCTGAAATGAAATATTCCATTCTTATAGTTTTCGGTTCCTTCTATAACTATAAATTTTTATTGTTTTAGTTTTTGAAACATTTTTGCCCAGTAAAACGAGTTTCCGTTTCTGACGGGGAAGGGTTTGTTTCTCCGCCTTTCTTGTTAAAATTCCCAAATGGCAATGACGACTATAGACTTTTATTTAGAAAAAAAAACTGAATTAATTATAGAAAGGTTTTTTTTAGTATATTGCAGGTATTTAGACTTTTACACCAGGCATCATTACCCGAAAAAGTTTTCATGAGTCTATAAGTGTCTCTTTTTTGTTGTTTCTTTGGATTTTTATGTCCATTTCAATTATGTTAGTAGTTAATTTTTTAAATTTCAGTGTTGTCGCGTTCATTTGGCAGGGCAAAACAAAAATCACTCTCACTCTGTACCTTTTTCTCCATTTATATACTCCTTCCCTTCTGTTCCTCATCCAAAAACCGTATTTTTCGAATTTGAATCTTAAATTTTTTTGGTTATGACTGATTTTTTTCGAACTTGTTGTTTGAGGTAGACGTGATAGCACATTGCTCGTTTTGAAACCTATTTTATTCTAGCGGTTTGTTTTTCCTCCTTTACAAGTCACAGTAATAATTCAGGTCCGGTCCTCTCCTACTTCTGTTTTCATTTTCAAATCAAAATTTTTTCGAGAGAATTTGCATATCTATGTTGCTACTGTTTTAGAGGCGTCGCCTTCGCTATTTACGTTTGGCAAATGTTTCTGGGTACGACCATTGACCTGTGACCTTTGTAAGTGTGTTAGTAGTCGGATTGTATAATTTTCATTTTCTCCTCATCATTTAGCTTAAATTTAAACTGTTTTATCAATAGCTGACTGTTACACCGTCTTTATCGATATGTGAGGGTGTGTGGGTGCAGTTCTCGCTTTTCAATTTTAGATTTGTTTAATCATTTTTCGAACTTCTCTTGAAAATCGATATTTGTTGGAGCATGGTTTCCTACACGTCTTTTTTATGCGTTCTTTCGATGAGATCCGACCCGGTGGTTCTGTTGCATGTTTTGTTTCCTTCCTCCTGTTATTTCCCCATCATTTTTCCTGAGGATTTATATTTTGTTTCGTTTTCATTCTTCCCTGACGCATTTTTCTTCCTGCTTCCATTAGAAGTTGATTTAAACGAAAATAGTTTAATGAAATCATAATATGGTTTTTTTCTTTTTATAGAGTTTCGCTATTTTTTGTTCTTTGCTTTCATTCGTTTTTTCTTTTTTCTTTTTTTTTTTGCAAATTGAAATATGTTTCTCCGGTTCTATTATTGCATTGTTGTGTTACTATTATGATTGTTTTTCTTTTTTTTTGGTATTTGTGAGTTTGTTAAAAGGTTTCCTCTCCTACTGTTTCTTAAGTATTTTTATGTAAATAAATATGTATTTTAATATTGTAATTATATACCATTAAGTATCCTGTTGCAGCGTATAGTGACGCTAGTAGTAGTGGAAGTAGTCTTAGTCGAACTTCAGAAGCACCAATCATTTTCTTTTCACACATCATGTTTACTTTGCTTTTCATCAATAACAAAAACAAAAAAAAAAAGTGAAAGGCGGAACTTCCTTTTCCCTTCAGTCATGAACATCGTACTCCTACTCCAAATTATTGTATATGTTATTATGTTGTATCCTATAATGCCGTACTGTATATTCTGCCATATACCTTTTACTATATTCTGGCGTGTACTGTAGTACACCGTACTCTATTGTCTTTTGCTGTTTGCTATTTATGCTGCGCTTTCGAAATTTAAATTTCAAATCCAAATAGAATGGAATATTTGAAGTTCCTCATGTGCTGGTTGGATTTGTTTCGTCCCAATAAGGAAATCAGACACTTTACTGTGTTTCTTTTTATATTCATATATATATATATATATTTTTTATACTGATTATTTCCTGAATTTCATCCGTTGATTATTACCACTTTTCTTTATTATTCATTGAAAAAACTTCCGCTGAAATGAAGTAAAAGGAAAACGGAAGGAAATATGTTTATGCTCTCTCCTGTTTACTCGCACTTTTTTCTTTATCTGTAATAATATCAGTCTTTAAAATTTATCGAGATTTGAAATTAAAAATAAAAGAAATTGATGAGTTTCATCAAATTTCATTTTGTGACATATTCTTTATCTCTGTTTTCACTCTCTCTTTGGCACTATCCCTACATACTTGGAGCTTACCTTTTTTTTAGTTTTTTGTTCTTTTCTGATTTTTTGTGTTGGAAAAGTGTTCCCTCGTTAAGTTTCTCGACTTCTTATCAAATTCCCTTCCAATCATCTTTGAATATTTATACTCTATTTTAATATATCAATTCCCGTCCCATTAATCGCTATCAAGGAAACTATATCCGCTTGTCCTTTACACATTTGGTTTGTACAATACGGCACACTTTTTTTTGTCAAAGCAAATGCATAGCTGGAGAAAAACCACGCTAATTGCGATGAGATAATGGTCAACTGGAGTGATTAAAAAATTTCCGATGTATTGATTGATGGTCAATTTTTCAATCCGGCCTGATTTGCCAACGTCTCCCGGGTTTGTTTCACATGTTACTTTACACTTCCGTGATATTGCATCGACAAATACACATGTTACTTACGATTAAAGTAAAAAGCGCTAGTTGATTGGCCCAAATTTTGCGCAATGGATGTGCTTTGTCAGTTGCTCTGTGATTGCAATTTGTTTATTTGCTTGTTGCTTTTTTCTTTTTATTCAATAATAACGATCTTAAAGAGAACCTGTACCATCGTTTCATTTATCTGTATCATCCTCTTTTCCTCTCTTTTCTACTTTTTGTATCCTTTTCCATCCTTATTCTCCCCTTCATACTCATCTCCGTTCTAATCTTCTTCACTTCCTTCCGAAGTCACTTTTAAGTCATATTGATAAGATAAATATGGTTGATGCTTCAATTTAATAACTACACTACGTGATAAGAATTTAACAAATACAATTACATTAGTCCGTTTCTCTTCCCTCTTTCATTGTCTTCAAAAATATTTCCATCATAAAAAGTACAAGTTCCGGCTAATCTTCAATCTCCTTACAGTTTCTCAAAGAAGTTCCACGGAATGTCATAAACTTTTTCTTTCCTACCATCGTTTCGGTTTCTCATCGAATATTACGTTTGTTGTGTTACTTCCAAAAATGATTGTATTTGTGCATGTGTTACGATGAAACGTTCGAATCGTCTCAGTCATATTGGTCGTCATATTAAAAGGTCTCACTCATTAAGTACTTTTAGTCTCCTAGAATTCCGTTTCTCTTAGTTACCTGCTAAAAAGAATGTAGCGTAAGTTAATGAGTTTTCTTTTTCTATTTTTCATGCCATCTTTAGGTTTGATCTTAAATTTTACAAGCTCGTTTCGGAAGTGTTGAAACCGTTTCGAGAATTGTACTTACCCCACTTTTTTCTTTTATGACTGATGCAAATATGTTAGCAACTATAATCAAAATTCCACATTTGTAACTAATTACAAGTACCAATAGTTCTTATCGATTCGTATTCGGTCGTTTATTCCCCCCATCCCTTACCAAGTTTTCTTCCCTTTCTCATTTATATCCAAATGAATGATAGGAAGGGACAGTGTCAAGAAGTGAGATTTGGAAATGTTCACTCACTTTTCCCTTTTTTTGTTACATATAAAAAGAAATTTGGGCTGAATTTCATACGTTGTTGTGCTATTATTACTCCTTTTTTAACTATATCTCTTTTTACTTTAATTCCTTTGTTCATTTGTTACATAAATTGTTTCTTTTTTTTTGTAAAAGAATTTAAAAATAAAAATTTTATAGTTCAATTCTAGATGAGCAGAGCTTTTACCTGTCTTTTTTTCTTCCTTATTTCACCGCTCTTCCCACCTTCATTTTTCCTCTTTTCCTCTTTAAAAGACAAGAAGACGCAGACAGGAACAGTAACTTTTTTTTCCTGTTCACTAATTTCCTTCATCAATAATTTCAAAATCAATTAAAAACTTTGCTGGCTTATTATTTTCCTTTATTCTTTACATTCTTGTTGAGAAAAAATATGCGAGAATGTTTTTCTTTTCCTGTTTTACTCTTTTATTTACCATTCAGTGGTACATAATATGCTTTGTCGTTCTCAACTCTGCGTTCATTGCAGCTGTCTTAATTGTATCCAAAATAATTTAGTCTAAAGCAGTAGCATTTCTTTTACGATAGTTTCTTTTTCTATTCCTTCTTTAGGATAAATAAAATAAACAATTACTAAATAAATTAAATTTTTGGAATTGAAAAAATGTCAATAATTGTTCTGAAATGTTTCTGGAATTTAATTTCCAGGTCGTGGTTTTAACAAAAAAAAAGGAAAGAAAGGCAAAAAACAAAAATTGTTGCACCATTAACAGCTGACACTATTTTCGTCGACCTATTCCCTTCATCTTCCTCTTTTTTCAACATGACAAATTATAATAAGTATATACTTGTGTATTATTTAGAATAATTGCAAATTAGAAGAATTATTTGTTACTTCTTAATTTTTTTCTATTCACTGTTTAGTTTTCAAAAGATACCTTTTTTTTGAGAAAGAATATTTGCCCTTTTGTTCTTTTTCCTTCATTCATTTCTATCAAATTGTTCCAAAATTTAGTTCATTGTCAAAATTTGAAATATCCTGAGAAACTTACCTTTACAAGTGAAATGTTGTCAGTTAGTAAATTGTTTTTGTTTTTTGATGAATTGATGAAGTATGTTTCACCTTTTCCTTGCTCCTACTAACTTCCTTAATGGAAAAGAACAGACCGTTCTTTTCTAATTTTTGTCATTGTCGCCTCATTATTAGTTCCCATATAATGCATCATCATCATCGTCATTATCATCATCCTGGTTAATAACATATTACCCGTCTTTAGCTCTCCGCGATATCAACCCCTTTTTCTCCTTCCGTCTTGCAATTATTATATGTATGTACATGTTTCCTTCTTTTCGTATGTCTTTCAACCATCATCTCGGTTTGTAAATATCATACACACGCATTACATGAACACTTGCATAAAAAATATATATATATACACGCGCACACACGCACATACAATACATACACTCATATACACACACGCATACACGCACGCACACACACACATACACCACACATACGCACACACACACGCGCACAATATATATATATATATATAACAGGATTTATCAACCTTACAGCTTATGCGAGTATATTGTTATTGTTATCACCGGAGGAAGTTGGCATATGTATAGCGAATTTTTTGTTTTGTTTGTTTTTTTTTCTTTTGTTTTCTTTTTCGTTCTGTATAGATGACATTGTTATATTGTGGTAGTAAATTCAATAAAGAAGGGTAGAGGCGTACTTTGGATTATTCTTCCTTCTCCTCCTAAGAATAAGTCATTTTTCTCATACTATAGCATACCTAACAAGTTATGCAAAAAAAGAATGCTATCATCTGTGACATTTGTTTTGGAAATTTAGTCCAATAAACTGGTTATACCTCTAACCAAACTGATTGGCCAGTTGTTGAGAGTAACAATGGCATGAAAATTGAAGATATGAAAATGGAAATCATTTGTTTATCGAAGAATTTTTATTCGGAAATCATTATAAGGAAATGATTAGTATTGAAATATGTGATACAAGTTATATCAATCAAACATGTTACATCCCTACCCCATGTAATGTAGTTTTATAATGATTTAAATAGATGGAATGTGATCCATAGATGGATTCTGTTTTTTTCTTTTTTTTTTGTTTACGATGTCTGATAATTTCGTATCTTCTTTGCTCTGCTCTTTATGTAATATTTGCAAAAATAAATTTGTTCAAAAAAAGTTGACATTGTTTTTTTTTGCTTTCCACCGTTTCCAATAAATTCAACATGAAATATATTCCAATCATTGATGTTTTTTTGCAAACAGTATACATGGATTAGAGTTATACAGAGAGGAAAGTAGGAGCAATCTAGAATAAGATGGTTAGATGTAAGGAGTATATCACATCAAAATCTTAAACTCTTAATGTTGATGGGCGTTTGTTTCGACAATTCATTTCCTTGTCCTTTCAATCAATTCAACCGATTGGTTGTTGTTAAACGAGTAATTAACAGGATTCTCTTAATCATTTGCAAAGATCGATAAATTACTGAATTTACTAGGATAGGATGGGTAGGAATTATTTAATGGTGAAGTTTGAAATGAAAATCACGTTTTCCTAACCGTTCAGCAGTCTTTTTACCCTGTGATCCAGAAGAGGACAAATCAGGCGGTTAATTTGTTTTCTTGTCTAAGGTTACTCTAAAGTCCTGAAAAGTACAATCTGAAATTGGTAATATCCAAGAATACGAAGTGCAACAATCAGTCATTTCAACCTACTTGAAGGTAGCACTATTTGGGATCCGGGAAAGTTTCTTCTTTGAAACCAGTTAACAGATACTGCTGGACATGTTGAGGAGTTACCGTAGTCAAAGATCATGATATTATTACTATGGTGATCTATTTGTTTTATAGTATCGCATAATAATTCTGCCATTTGAACAGTGGTTATTATTCATACCTGTAGTAATTAGTTATTTTTTAGTGTTAGCTAATTATTTCGATATTTCACGTCATATTGAAAATTTTTTGAGGTGTTTCTGATAATTTTTACTACCAGTGATTATTATTGATAATTGTACAGATAAACGGTACCAAGTTGATAAGTTGGAGAATATCATTATATAAAGCAGATTGTTTCAAATAAACTTCTGTTACAGTACGGTACTTTCGGGTAAAAACTGATCGTAGCATAGAGAGCATTGCACAACAGCGCCAATAGCAATGGCGATCGTTATGAGAACAATTGTCGCAGCTGCTGCTAAACTGATCGTTACTGCTACTGCTTTGCTATGTTTGGTGATCTGAAGCAAGTATCATGCTTCATATATTATTCTCTCTCTTCTGCAAATTTTCCAACTGAAATTTGAATTCATTTTTTGCCTTTACATTGTTTTATTATTATTATTATTATTATTATTATTATTATTATTATTATTATTATTATTATTATTATTATTATTATTATTATTATTATTATTATTATTATTATTATTATTATTATTATTATTATTATTATTATTATTATTATTATTATTATTATTATTATTATTATTATTATTATTATTATTATTATTA